AGTAGTAGTAGCAGCAGTAGTAGTAGTCGTAGCAGTAGTAGTAGTAGTAGTAGTAGTAGTAGTAGTAGTAGTAGTAGTAGTAGTAGTAGTAGTAGTAGTAGTAGTAGTAGTAGTAGTAGTAGTAGTAGTAGTAGTAGTAGTAGTAGTAGTAGTAGTAGTAGTAATGATAGTAGTAGTAGTAGTAGTAGTAGTAGTAGTAGTCGTCGTAGAAGTCGTAGCTACGATTGATACTATTACTACGACTAGTACTAGCAATGACGATCGCACCCGTAATATTACGAATGATAGAATAAGCGTCACAGCGCCAGCCCGCGGCGGCTACTTTGAGCAGAGGAGCATTTTTCTTCATCGCGCCCAGGGGGGGGAGCAGGTGGAAGGCGGGCCAGGAGCAGACCCGAGAATGACCCGGCCGTAGCGACAAGGGAGGGCTCGACGGAGAGCAACACCCCGAACCCGCCCACGACACGAACCACTCAATGGAGACCGACCCCGCCGCGTCGACGAAAGGAACCACCACGCCCCAGCGGGCGGGTAAAAGCGCCCTCGAAACAGCGCATAAACTGAGAGGTGTCTGTCTGCACCATCCGGATGCGGACGCCCTCCCTCCCAGGGTCCAGGCATTCTCCCGGACCACCCCGGGACCAGAACAGCCAGCGCCAGCTGTGAGGGCGGCACAGCCGTGGCGACGAGAGGCCCCAGCGACCCGAGGAAAGCCCCATACCCGAAAACAAACCCCCACACCAATGCGCCTCGCCCGACTGGATCGGCGAAAGAGGGCAGCAGGGAACCGTCAGTTGGACGATTCTCAAACGCCTGCGACGCCTGTGGCCAGGCGACGCCAAGCGGCCGAGGCATTGTCGACGTCAAGGGACTCAGAGCCGCCAGCTTTGGCGGACGAGGGCGACGCGCCAGACGCGCAAGCGCGCCGAGCTGCCAGAGGCGCTAGCTTCCTAGCTTCCCTGGGCGAGGGCGAGAGCCCACACTCGAGGATAGGGACGCTGTGCACATCGGGAAATCCCTCGGTGGAGGAGGACGAGGAGGACGACGACAGAGGAGGGGGAAGGGGAAAAGGGGGAAAAGGGGGGAGGGAGAGGGGGGGGAGGGAGCGAGCAAGAGAGCGAGAGTCCAAGAGGTTCACTAGGACGGCGCTAGAGAGGGAAGATGGCCGCAGCGGCGGCCGCCGGGCCCGATCAAACACCGAGCCCTGATAAAGGGAAATGGATGCACCGCGCTGGGCGCTTGAGAGGTTGCAAGGCCATGGCGGTGGCGAGGGGGGGGGCAAGAGGAACCAGAAGGAGAAGGAGGAGGAGAAGGAGGAGGAGGAAGGGGAGGAGTAGGACGTCCACAACCCTCGCGTGATCGGATGACCTGAAACAATGAGCAGGAGGAGGAGGAGGAGGAGGAAGAGAAAGGAGGAGGAGGAGGAGGAAGAAGAGGAGGAGGAGGAGGAGGAGGAAGACGAGGAGGAGGAGGAGGAGGAGGAGGAGGAGGAGGAGGAGGAGGAGGCGGAGGAGACGAGGACGGTTCGTCCAAACTCTGCACGGACAAGACCACATCGCGGGGAGGGGGGGGAGAGGGGGCGTTGCCTTGGCTGCCACCGCGACGAACGCGGCAAGAAACGCCAGGCACATCGCCCACAGCACCGCGGGGCTGGACCAAAAGTCTCCTGCGGGAGGACGGCGACGGAGGAGGAAGAGGAAGAGGAGGAGGAGGAGGAAGAGGAAACGGAGGAAGAGAAGGAGGAGGAAGAGGAAACGGAGGAGGAGAAGGAGGAGGAAGAGGAAACGGGGGAGGAGAAGGAGGAGGAAGAGGAGGGTGGGGGAGGAGGAGGAGGAGGAGGAGGTTTCCCGCGAGCACAGCGTGGGCGAGCACCTCGCGTCCACCTGCGTCAGGCCAGGTTAGTCCTCCGCGCCGCCTGAGGCGGCGGAGGAAATTTGTGCCTCCACGCCACTTCCCGCGGCGGAGGCCCTGGCAGCATTCCCAATCGATTCCAGAAACGCCAATTCCAGGGTTCTGAACAACGCGACCACCTCTCCAGGCAGTCTGTCATTCTTATAAGGATGCTTACCTGCCAGCAAACGATTACGCCGAGTCATGGCTTTGTGGTACATCGGGTCCTTAGGACAACCTGTAAGTAACCCACAAGCCCTGGCGCTCAAACAGGCGCCGCACTCTCGACAGGAGGTGTGGTGGCCAATTCGAGACAGCATGTGTCGCCTTGGCCCCTCCAAAGGAGCCCCGTCGACACTCGCTATCTTCTTCCACTTGGCGTGCGAGGAGAAATCCTCCCTGCAAAACTTGCGAGGAGGAGGAGGAGGAGGAGGAGGAGGAGGAGGAGGAGGAGGAGGAGGAGAGGAGGGAGGAGGGGGGATGGAGGGGGAGGAGGAGGAGGAGAGAGGAGGGAGGAGGAGGAGGAGGAGGAGGAGGAGGAGGAGGAGGAGGACGGGGAGGAGGAGAGGATGGGGAGGAGGAGGAGGAGGAGGAGGAGGAGGGAGGAGGAGGAGGAGGAGGAGGAGGAGGAGGGGAAGCAGGGGGAAGGGGAGCTCTGATAGGGTACACTTTGTTGTCGCGGACTCGGCGAGCGCTCAAGTCGGTACGTTAGGATAGATCGGGATGCGAAACAACGAGTTGGCACCGAAGGGGCGTGGGGAGGACGGGAGGGCGGCCGCGGACAGGAGACAAGAGCCGAGGGGGGCCTTGTCTCCTGCCCGCGGCCGCCCTCCCGTCCTCTGCTGTTGGGTCAATCCCGGAAGCACTCTGACGTTATCGGGGATCGAAGGGCGCGAGAGGCAAGAGGCAAACTCCCAGCATGCCCGAGAGAGCGGCCGCGCGGGAGGCCGGGAGGAGGCGCCAGGGATTCGCTCCTGTTGTCACCCGACACATACATACTCAACAATTAGACATCGGTCGGAAGAAGTGGGTAAAGACATGAAGCAGGAAGGCGTTGGAAGTAGATTGGGCTCGCGCCCGCCCCCTGAAGACAAAAGAACAGGGAACACCACTCGATCATTGAAGTAGGAAGGAATGCGCCTAGAGTAGATTGGATTTGTGAAATCCAGAAATACCTACGTTGAGCGACTGGCGTGCATTGCCCACTCTGACGGATTCCCGTGGGAGCGGGATCGGGTGTTGCCACTGGCCCCTGGCCCAAAATGCCTCTGACATTGCGAGAGTGTGGCCTCCGGCCCACATCCGCTCAGCGTCGGTCCCCAGACCTCGCCCCGTGTCCCTCTTAACCCGTCTGCCGAGGCGGGTCCAACCGTGGCGACAGGCCGCCCCCAGGAGGCCCACAGGCGGAAACATGCCATGGAGGGCCGCCGTTGTCTCAACGGGCCCTCTTCCGAAAAAACTGCACCGGGCACTCGGCACGCCGGCGTTCCGTTGGTGTTGTCCATCATGGCGGCCTGGGCCAGCTGCTGACGGTACTCGGCCATGTAATAGTCGTGGTACTCCTGGTGGGCCGCCGTGCTCCTCCTGCTCCTCTTCCTCCTCCTCCTCCTCCTCCTCTTCCTCCTCCTTCTCTTCCCCCCCTTTCACAAGGTGGGTTCTGCCGACGACCTTGCTCAAAGATGGGTGGCGCAATCCCGTGTGATCGGAGCCACTCTCGCCACCAAGGCCCAAGGCAGGCCCGAGAAACTCGCTCGCAGGCGTTCGTGGTTCGCGTTCGACTCGAATCGCGGTTGGCTTCGCTCACTCACTCCTCCTCCCCTTTCCCCTCTTCGCCCCGCTCCTCTTCCTCAGGAGGGAATAAGAGGTTGCAAGTCCTTGGGGGGTCTGCATCTTCCCCGCGAGCACAAGGGGGGCACTGCTGTCCGCGCGAGGCAGTTTGAAGGCACATTTCAAGTCAAATTGCGCGGCGCGCTTGCCTCGGCAAGCATTTTGCCGCGACGCCAGGAGCTGCTCTGACGACACTTCCCGCGCCGCAGTGCACTGGCCCCCTCGGCGAAGGAGGCAATAGGAAATTTTGCAAATGGGCACTGGTAGATAGGATAGGGATTCTGCGCCACGCCCACGCAGGAAATATACAGATCCGCGGCGGGGGTCAACGGAATCGAAATAATGAGCAGTCGGTTGGCGAAGGAAGCAGGCAAGGGTTCCGCGGGAGAGCCAATGGAATAGATGAAAGGGCCCAGAGAGAGAACACATAACAATACGATGAGAGGCCCTGGAGAGCAAAACAAACATGCTTTAAGTAAACGAGAATGCGCGCACGAGCGTCCAGAGACGGGGCGCGGGAGGGGCGGGGTGCGAGCGGCGGCCCCCGGGCCCCTTGCCCCGCGCTTGCGAAGCGGGCTCGCTGGCTGCCGCAGCGGCCCTGGGCCGCATGCGCAATGGATTGAAGGACCTGGCGGGCCGCCGCGCGCGCTGCGGCATTGGCCGAGGCCGCGCGCGGGAGATAACCTATGCGCGAGGGGGCGGGGCGCCGCGCGCGCGCGACGGCCTTGGCCGACTCGGCGCGTCGAAATAAAATGCGCGACGCGCCAAGACAGCCGCGGGCACAGAAGCCTCCGCCCACCGCCCGCGGGGAATGACACATTTTCGCGGAGCGGGGGGGGGGCTGCCCAAGTCTGCGCGACAAGAAACAGCGCGCGGCGGGCGGGGAACGCCGCGCGCGGGGCGGCTCGAGCGAATCGCGGAGGGAACGACGCCGCGCGCGAGGGGCCTGGGCCGCGGCCGTGGCGGCCCTTGCCCATGCGAACAGGATGCGGCAACGCTCGCGGGGGGCCAGGGAAGCCGCTCGCGCGGCGCCCTGGCCAACTCCGACCAAAGCCAACCAGATAGCAACGGGGCGAGGCCGACGCGCCCAATGCGCGGGGGGCGCTGTCGCCGCGGCGGATGCCAGCGAGCGCGCGGCAACGCTGGCCCTGTCTGCGCGGGGAGCACAGCGCGCGCAGTGACAGGGCCGCGGCGCGCGACGACGCTGGCCACTTACGAAGGAGAGCACGCCGCGAGCGCGGTGACTCCGCCGCCGCGCCCACAGCGGCCCTGCCCAATTCTGCGAGCTGAAACGCAGCGCGTGACGGGCAGGCCGCGACACTCCCGGCCCCCCTGATCATTGCGAAGACATGGAGGAACCATGCGGCAAAGGAAGGGGGGGAGGGGGGTGGGGGCGCGGCCGCCGCGTGCGCGGCGCCCCTGGCCAATCGCGCGCGACGAGACACCGCGCGCGCAGCAGCGCCGCCGCCGCCCGCAATGGGGCAGGGCGGGGGGGGAGAAAAGAAGGGGCAAGGCGGCCGCTCGCGCGGCGGCCCTGGCTCATTCTGAACGGGCCAGCGCTATGCGCGAGGGGGCGGAGAAGGTCGCCGAGGGGGCAGCGGACCTGCTCCCTCCCGAATGGAATGCCCGAGCGCGCGAACGGGCACAGCCGCCGCCCGCGCGACAGCCCCAGCCCATTCTGGATTTAAAAACACGGCAGCGCGTCAGAAGCTGCGCCGCCGCGCTCGCGGTGGCTTCTGCCAGTTCTGCGCGGCGGTGCAATCCGATGCGCGCAAGGGCGGGGCCGCCGCTCGCGTGGCGGGCCTGGCCCGTGCTGCGTTGAAGAACATCGCGGGCGCGCGGCGGTCGCGCGCACGGCAGCTCTGGTCGATAGGCGCGCAGTAAACGCAACGCGCGGCAAGGGGGCAGAGCCGCCGTGCGCGCGGCGCCCGTGGCCAATCCTGAATGAACAGCTACGTCCGCAGGGGCGCAGATCTGCCGCGCGCGCGTCGGCCCCGGCCCAATCTGCTTAAAAAAACGAACGCCACGGGCCAGCTCTGCATGGGCACGGTCACGGGGGCGTCATGTCCGAGCAGGCGCGGCGGCCGCGCGCGTCGGCCCTGGCGCGCCCTGCGCGGGGCAGCGCGCGCGGCGGCCCCTGCCCTCTCCGCGCGAACAACCTGGCAACGCAGGGCGGGGCCGCAGCGCGCGAGGGGCAGGGCGCGGCTCGGAGCGGGGGGCGTCTTGCATTTGAGCAGCGCCATGCGCGAGGGGGCAGGGGCGCGGCGCGCGGCGACAGCTGCAGCATCATAGCATGTTGAACACTAACAGCGCAAACGCCATGCGCGAAGCCGCGGGGCCGCCGAGCGCGCGGCGCCCCCTCGGCCATCTTGAATAACAAATTCCGCGCGCGCGTGGCCACGCGCGAGGCAGCCCCTTCGTCATTCTGACCGCGAAGAAACAACAGCGCGCGACGGCAGAAGCCACCGCGTCCGCGGCGGCCATTGCTCGACTTAAGCGCGGGGGTCTCTGCTGCGCGCGACGGCCCTGGTCACGAATGAACTGACGAGCGCTCCCCAGAGGGAGGGGATAGGGCCGCTGCGCGCGGCGGCCTTGACCGACTGTGCATATGCAGTGCCGCGCGCGGGGAAGGGCCGGCGAGGGCCGCCGCGCGCGCGGCAACCTTGACCTGGCCCAACTGGAGAGCCGCGGGGCGCGGGGCAGGGCCACCGCGCGCAGTGCCGCCCTGGCCCAGGCTCCGCCCGAAGAAAGAATCGCGCGCGGGGGCAGGGCCGCCGCTCGCGCAGCTACCTTGGCCCATTCTGCATTGAATCGCAGAGTGCGCGACGGGGGGCAGGGCGGCCGCCCCCGCGGCGGCCCTGACGCCACTTAGCGCGGCGCGCGAGACAGGGCACCGCCGCGCTTCGCATCGGCCCTGTCCCAGTCTACTGGAAGGGCGCCGCGCGTGAGGCGCAGAACCCGCGCGCGCGGCCGCTCAGGCTCATCCTGCGTCGGAAGGCGCTGAGCGGGAGTGGCCCCGTAGGGATCTCCACCTAAGGCTTCAGTGGCAACGTTCCCATGCGTCCCCGCAACCAATGTCAGCGCGCCCCGCGCGCGCTTCGTGGCCCCATGGTGAGCGCCACCGAATGCCATATCCACAAATGCGGCACTCGCATCTGCGAATGGCTGGGCCCTTCGCCAAGCTTTTTTTTCCAGCGAGCGGCAGCGGCCTGACCCCGCGGGCCCCCAAAAGTGCCCCCGCAAACGTCGCCGCTGATCTCCGAGGGAGCCACCGGCGCCCGCGCGCGAAGCCGTCCAGCGGCGCCCCAAAATGCCCCCCCCCCCCCAGGCCCTGCGCGCAGCCCTTCGCGGCGGTCGCCCGACGCCGCAAAGTCCGGGCCCGCGCGGCGGTCGCGCCCCGCCCGAGAGATCTCCGCCAGGGAGGGCGCTCCACCCTGCAGGCGCCCCCCGCGGCATGCGTCTCGCCGTCGAGCTCATCGCCGAGGCGGGCACCTTGCTCTGCGCCACCCCTCCCGCGACGGGCGACCCATTCGACGCGCGAGCCGAAGGGCTCGCACCCCACGCAGCCGAGCATCTCGAGGCAGGCGCACCACCCTGCGAGGCTCCTTCCAGACACGCCACCCACCGCGGACACCACCCACCAGGATGGCACCCCACACTCCAGCCCCCCCCGCAGCTTGCGCGCCCAGACTGCAGTGACCCACCAGAGGTGGCCACCCAATGTGCAGCCCCATGATCCTGGCTCGGATGGACCTGGGGCAATGCGAGGTCTGCCGACCCCCCCCGCGCCTCGGCCATTCTCCCGGCCGACGATTCAGAGAATGTTGCGAGCGAGTGGCCCGGGGCCCTGGGGTAATGCGCGGTCTGGCGCCCCCCCCCTGCACCTCGGGCATCCTCCCGGCTCGGATGGACCCGGGGTAATGCGCGGTGTGCCGGCCCCCCCCCGCACCTCGGGCATCCTCCCGGCTCGGATGGACCTGGGGCAATGCGCGGTCTGCCGGCCCCCCCCGCACCCCGGCCATCCTCCCGGATCAGACCTGGGGCAATGCGCAGTCTGCCGAGTGCCGACCCCCCCCCCCGCACCTCGACCACCCTCCCGGCTCGGACATAGCTCGGGCAGCGCGCGGCCCGCCAAGCACCCCGGAGCCTCGGCCACTCTGCCATCTCGGACAATTGGGGAAGCGCCATTTGCGCCCCCCCGCCTCCCCACTCCCCAGCCCCAACGCATTGCCCGCCGCAGCCGCAGCGAACGCGGGCCCGAGTCGGAAAGCAACGTGGCGCGCGCTGACGGCCCCAAGAGCGACCAGCGCAAGATCGCGCCCTCTCGATCACGGACAATCGAGGACACTGGCGGGCGCGGCGACGCTGCCTCCACGTCGCACACATCGCTATGCCGAGAAGGTCTGCCCCGAACGCAAGCGCGGGCGGCGGGCCGGTGAGGTGGGAAGGGAAGCAGGGCGCGCATTGGGCCCGCTCTGGGTTCTAGGTTGATCGCGGCACGCGCGCGCCGCCAGCCCCACCGAGCGCGGCTTTGCACGGCTGACAGCGCGCACGCCCAATAGCTCCCTGCGCGAAGTCGCGCCTTCGAGCTGCAATCCGTAGACACGGCTCGGCCGACGCCGAGACGCGGGCCCTCGCCGACTGCGGGCCCAAAAACTCGCTCGCGCCCCGCGTGAGACAGGTGCGCAGAGCACCGCGCACCCCCCGCGTTTCCCGACGCAGAACGAACGGC